CAAATTGAGGAATAGCAATAAAAGAAGAAAATTCAATTTTCGATCTAATTAATGAGAAAAAAAGTAACTTTAAAGTCTTAATGTTATAAAAATGTTTAGTTGATCTTAAGAGGTAACCCAAAGATCTGGAAGTAACTGTTACTAATTTTGATATATGGTCATTAAAATTCAATCGACAGTCAAAAGTAACGCCAAGGTCACATAATGAAAAAACTCTCTCCAATGTTATATTATTTAAAACATAGTTGTTAAGAAAAGGTACCTTTGACCTAGTGAAAGTTAAAATATGACATTTAGAGATATTGAGTGGTAAAAAGTTATTTTGTATATTCTTTAATAATTCTAAAAGAAAACCAGGTATACTCTTAATTTAATGTTAAATTTTTGAGAAATGGAAGCTGTATTGTATCTCTGATCTGAGATAAACGCACAGCAATCTACCACAGATCGAGACGAGGATAAGTATTCTCTCACCCAGCAACGTGAACGCACATATCTTTTTTCTGACATTTTATTTTAAGCACGGCTTTAAAATCTGACAAATTTTCGGCATTCATATTTTATGCATATAGTATTTATTATAAATGTATCTCTTATTGATCCTCTTGAATAATTCTAACCTCTTTTAATGAATATGAAATATTTTAATTATATTTATCAATGTTTAACTGTACACAAATTCTTCTAAATCCAATTATTGTATTCATTAAAAATTAGTTTGAAATCGACTTTACTCCGTTTTGTTAGTTTTGTTAAACTGAACAGAAAATTTTGTGACATTTTGGTGGACGAGAATTACTAACGGACAATCAAAAGCATCTATTGCATTTCAAATTTTCTTCTTTTTATTTTTGTTCGTCTATTAACATCTTAAGGGGTTACATGCGTCTAGAAGGCAAAAAATCGTATACATTTTTATAATTTTTTTTTCATTTAATAAATAAGTTATTTTATTCGATCGATTGAACACCTTAAAGTACAGTATCAAAAGAACAATTTGTAAAATTTTTGTTAAGAAATATTAAAAATTGAGCTTACGACCACTGGTTGTTTGAGACGTCTTCCAAAATTGCAGTGATCAAGATTTCTCAAAAACTAATGGAGAGATCTTTCTCAAATTTGGCACGCTTCTTCTATATAGTATTGACTAGTGATTGAACGAAGAATTTTTCCGTTGATTACAATTGATTTTACATGGTCCAAATGGTTAAAAAATTCGTAAGTATTGACAAACAACACTGCCAAAATTTCAGATTTCAATATTTTTTAAAATCCTTCGTTCAATCACTAGTCACCATTATCTAAAAGAAGTGGGCCAAATTTAAGAAAGATCTGTCAATTAGTTTTTGAGAAATCGTGACCACCGCACAGTGGCGAAAAGTGTACTTTTTCGTTTCAAATCACTCCACAGGTCACAATTTTTTATCAAAATGACTGTACTTTTTTTCTACATCTTCGTAATTAAATTCTCTATCCATCTCTCCAACCCATTTTTGAATTTTAGTTTTTCAATTTTTTTAATAACAATTTGTTACAAACCGGAAAATAAATTATCAATTTCTGAATTATTGGGAGGCACCAAGCTGCCAAAATTCAAAGAATTAAAACGTGTTACTTTAAAAGACTCTAGAATTTTGTTTATTATTTTGCGGGATCATTTATCCTATTTTAAAAACGTTTCTGCCAAGCCACTATCATCACTATTATCATTTTAATTTTTGATAAGAATTTTTTTAAGTACATCACACAATAAAACAAAAATTATCCCTTACAAAATTTTTATTTAATTGAAAGGAACTTAATAAAAGTTTAAAAATTACAGTTACGTTAAAAGATGCAAACAAAAATTGTCGTTTACTTAAAACTAAATTAATGGAAATCGATAGAAAGAAAAGAAAATAATTGTATGGAACGACACGTAAAAGTTTTATTCCTTACCTCTACGGCTTAGAATTACCGTCAGAAGTCGTTGCTACTCAGAGCTCTTCTGGCGGACAAAAGAAAATTTGGTAGTGCTAAAACGCGAGAATTTTGTGTGTCTGCACGATATCGAAACGGCGTGGACAAAATCTATGCAACCAGGCGATTGGCAACAAATTGCTAATAAAAAAATTTAACAATGACAATTTTCCCAAATCGGTTCTACATAACTTTGTCGGATGAAGTTTTATTTTATTTTCTCGTCCGCCAGAATTTACTTGCAACTTTGTGCGAATTTGTAATTCGGGATACGACTCGCCGTCGAGCTTAGACGTGGCGTTTTTAAATCCTTATAGAAATTAGCATTTGTCAGGCCAGAACCAGGAAAGGTCTTAATTCCAAGATTAAGAAAGTTGTACTGCTCTGATTTTTGCTCTCAGATCGGCCTCTATCCATCGCCTCAGAATTTAACCCATTAACGCCCAAAAACTGAAAATTCTTTGTACACATTCAGGCTACGTTATTTTAAGTAAATCGGTCAACATTTTCTACGAGAGGTACATTTCCTATAGGTCTTGAGTGTGCTCTTTCCGATTCCGGTGTCAAAAATTAATTTCGTCTAAGCCTAAATTAAATATGGCGGTTTAAATGTCAAAAAACACAAAAAAAGTTTCATTTCTTTAAGTTTGACATTTTTTTTCAATTGGAAAAAATGTAAGAATAAAATTAAATTGTCAACCATAGGTGCATAAAAGTTGTGTACTTTCGAGAAACGTAAAGTAGAATAAAAAATTTCAAGATGGCGGACCAAAATGGCGTCAAATTCATTGTAAAATGTGAAAATTTTGTGCAATATTGGTCAAATTGACAAAATGTAACTGGATTTGCCTGAATTTTGTTACTCGGGGGTTTATGGGGTCGCTGATTAAGAATCTGAAGTCGGTTTTCAAAAATGCAAAATGGCGGATCCAATATGGCGGATGAAATTTTAAAAATGCATTCAAATGGTCTGAATTTTCATACTCGGGGGTTTTCGGGGTTGCAGATTAAGAATCTGAAGTCGGTTTTCAAAAATTCAAAATGGCGGATCCAATATGGCGGATGAAAATTTTAAAAATGCATTCATTTGGTCTGAATTTTCATACTCGAAGGTTTTCGGGGTTGCTGATTACGAATTTGAAAAAAACAATTCATCGTATTTACATGAAATCAGTTACTCGGGGGTTTTTTGCATTTTTGAAAACCGAGTTCAGATTCTTAATCAGCGACCCCATAAACCCCCGAGTAACAAAATTCAGGCAAATCCAGTTACATTTTGTCAATTTGACCAATATTGCACAAAATTTTCACATTTTACAATGAATTTGACGCCATTTTGGTCCGCCATCTTGAAATTTTTTATTCTACTTTACGTTTCTCGAAAGTACACAACTTTTATGCACCTATGGTTGACAATTTAATTTTATTCTTACATTTTTTCCAATTGAAAAAAAATGTCAAACTTAAAGAAATGAAACTTTTTTCGTGTTTTTTGACATTTAAACCGACATATTTAATTTAGGCTTAGACGAAATTAATTTTTGACACCGGAATCGGAAAGAGCACACTCAAGACCTATAGGAAATGTACCTCTCGTAGAAAATGTTGACCGATTTACTTAAAATAACGTAGCCTGAATGTGTACAAAGAATTTTCAGTTTTTGGGCGTTAATGGGTTAAGTGGGATAGTTGGGATTCTAAATTTTAGTAAAAGGGACAGTTTCCTCAAGCTTATTGGTTAGTTGTATTTTTTCTGACGTTTTGGATCTCACGCCGCGAACGTGAGAATGGAAACCGTCCAGATGCAACTTAACACCTCCCTGGAACAAGAAATTATTATAACTAAATTCATAAGTTATAGTTGAAAATATTATTTATTTGTAAAATTGTTGTTGTTGTTATTATTATTAAAATTTTTCTTTTTAATAATAAAAGAAACAGCAAATACATCTTGTTTTACTGTTTTAATTAATTTACAACTTCCAAGAAGAATTTCACTTCACAGAATGTGTGTACATATGACACCTTGAATTATGTTAGAAAATAGTAATACTATTTTTTTTCAATTGCTGTTTTTGTTCCACATGATAATTTCACGTGCTTCTATTTTGGTGCAAAAGTTTGTAGACCAATATCCCGGAGGGGAGCAGAGAACATGGACATAACCAAGCCGATAGCCAGAGCCCCGTCCTGAGTGCATTATAACTGTAAGATTGATATGAGGCAAAATTCCTGAAATGTCCAAACAAAAAATTAAAAGTTCTCGAATTTAATCTATAATTTTCTAAAATGTTGTCATTGTTGGTGAAAGTCTAATAATTAATTATCATTGAATTTGATAAAATAGTTTTTGAATTACATTTTTAATTTTTGACTTAAAAAAAAAAAATTTCAATGTATAATATTTATAAGTAGAATGCACAAAAGTTAACATATATTTTTTAAATAAAATTTGACATTCAAATTCAAGATCAAAATGTTAATTTACGTATATCTCAAAATCGGATTTTTTAATATTTTTTTTAACTATCTCAATGGAAAGCTTGACTAATTTCCTACAAAACATGTAAGTTTCAGAGTGGGATCTTTTAATGTTTCTGAGATAGAGACAATTGATCACACGCGCGCACTCTAACCGCGCGCCGTCACGCAGCGCCAAGTGGTATATGTAATACACATGAGCAATTCGATGTGAGATTAAGGGGTCTATCCTCCGATTTCTTCCATACTAAGTTTTTGGGTAGAGGTTATGGGTCTAATTCAGTAAAAAAAATCATTATTTTTCGAGATATTTGCATTAAAAAATTAGTCCAACTTTTTTTCAATTACTTATAAAACTGTTAACTTTTAGACCTAGAAAAAAATTTCTTAAACGCTTTTTGCGCAGAAAATATTGAAGTTTAAGAAAAAGAAAAAAATTTTTGTCATACTTGTAATAAAATTTCAGGTTTGAAGTGAAAACGGATTTTTCATTGTTTTCATTAACTTGACTGGTATAATAAAATTATAAATCTATCTGTGGAAGTATTTAAAAACTTAAAAGTATTTTTTTTCATTTCACGCTTACTGATATACAGAATAATTTCACATTTATTAAGGTAAGCAAATTTTAATTAATTAATTTACTGCAAAATGCAAAAGTCCTGGAATCCTAAAATATATCCTGGAATTTTAATTTCTGGTCTTAAAATTTTTAAGATTTTAATAATTTGGTTCAAATAGCGTGCCAATCGAATATACTTACACGGTAAAATTTTTGATTGAGCTGCTCTCTTCGGCAGGTGATTTTTTCTCTAAAATTGACAGATTGATGCAATTTACTTCAATTTGAGAGAACTGCTATTCTCGATGTGAAAGCACTGATACCCTACAGGCGTACAACAGATGTCTCTGGTGACTTTACACCACTATTGTGAGATAGTTGATGCCCCACAATAGGAGAGCAGCCTTCTCACATTGGTTCTGCAAGGTTACTATAGTTAGTGTAGCGCAACGTTACTAAATCTAGTAAATCAGCTCACCCAAAAACTTTTCCGTGTGGTTACATTTATTTTATTATTCCTAGAAGAGCATCAGAATTTTTCTTCTTTTAGTTCAAATTCTGTTTTAAAATATAAATGTTAAGTGAAATAAAAAAGTAAAATTAATGAATTGAATGTCCTGGAAAGATAAGAAATCGGTCCTGGAAAGTCCTGTAATGAGAATTTAAAATTGTTATCTAAAATTAATCTTTTATTATCTTATCTATTACTTTATTTTATGTAAATTATCTTAATTTATCACATTTCATAATTTAAATAAAGAACCCTACTGAAAATTCTCATATAGGATCGTTGGAGAACATGACATATCGTCGTTTGATTTGAAGAACATGACACGTCGAAAACGAAATTTTTCTTTTCAAATTTCTTTTGGTACTACTGACCGCGAAATTTAAAATGGTTTGTTATATATTACATTTTTTAAGAATATATGATGATATTAAAATAATAGAAGTAAAATCTTGCACTATACACATATAATTTTGAATATTTTACATGAAATTCGTTTTAAATCAACGGGATTACAATACTGTATTTAAATGGTCGTCAGTATTATTAATTACTTTTACAGCTGTATGAGGTAACGTCATGGGTGGTAAATCCTCAAGGAAATGAATAATTGGAGGGTTTACTATAAAAAATTTACCTAAGTTAATTTAATTTATTTAATAATTGTGTTTTAAAAAATATACTTTACTTACTCTCCATGATTGACTCTTTAAACAAATATTTAAACAACACCAATTGTAACAAAATATTTACAATATAAATATTTATAATATAATAGAATTATTTATAAAATCACAGATTTTATCAATCTAAATATAAACTTTATAAAAAGCTATTTAAGGGAGCGTTCACAAATTACGTAACGTTTTTTTTAATTTTGACCCCCCCCCTCCCCATGTAACACGTTATTGCATACATTAGCGCCATTTTTTCTGCTGTCTGTAACAAAGTGCTTGACCCCCCCTCCCCCAAAAAATGTTACGTAATTTTTGAACGCTCCCTAACCTAATTTTTCTTTGAACTGATATTATGAAGCAAAATCATTTGTTTCATAAAACAGTTTCAAAGATTTGACACATTTTAAATTTCACGGTCAGTGGTACAAACAGAAATTTGAAAAAAAAAATTTTGTTTTCGACGTGTCATGTTCTTCAAATCAAACGACGATGTATCATGTTTTCCAACGCTAATCCGACGTATCATGTTTTTCAACGCCAATTCGATGTATCATGTTTTTACTCCCAGCCATCGTTATATACGATCTCATATAAATTCATATATTAAAATCCACATAAAATCCTATGTGTCATGTAAGAAACTATATAGGATCCTATGAAAAATCATATAGGAAATTGAGACATGATTTGAAGTAGGATTCGATGTAAATTTTTATAAACGTATTCTTAGGTAATAAATTACGTAAATTCCTATGTGAAATCCTACAATTTTTTCTGGTCACATTTTTTCCTTCAATTTCTTATGTCAATTTCCTTCGTGTTTTCTCACTAAAAAACATACCAAAATTCATTGCTCAATCCTTAACCAGAAATTTTCCTATATCAAATCATACATCAAATCTTTTTTCGATTCTTGAATAAAAAATTATTACAAATAATCTGACATGAAATCATATTGAAAATCCTCACGTGAGATCATATATATGATTGATTTGAACATAAGAAATCATATAGGATTTCATGTAGATTCTGAAATATTTATATTTAAGATATATATATATATATATCCTACATAAAATACTATATAGGATCCTATATAGGATTTCATGTAAGAATTCATCACATAGGAATTTATGTGGGATGTCATGTGTGGATTTCATTGTTTTAATTGTCCATCTAAGATACCAAGTCGGAAATTATCTGAGAAATTATGTCGGAAATTATATAGGAAATTATATGGGAAATTCAAATATAGATGTATATCATCATAGTTCTACTTTTACGCCGCCAGATGGTGCTAATTTTTTTTCTCACAGTTGAGATCGGTCTTGAATACTATAGAAGCTGATACTCTAACTCAGAAGGTGTATTGCAAAGCACAATTTCTTTTCTTTTCAGATGAATTACAGTAATGTTATTTGATTTTTAATTAAATAATTTTTAATTTTGATAAACTGCCGTCTGCCAACTGAAAATTCCTATATGAAATCCTATATTGTTTCCTTTATATAATTCTATGTGAAATCTTAAATATAAATATTTCAGAATCTACATGAAATCCTATATGATTTATTATGTTCAAATCAATCATATATATGATCTCACGTGAGGATTTTCAATATGATTTCATGTCAGATTATTTGTAATAATTTTTTATTCAAGAATCGAAAAAAGATTTGATGTATGATTTGATATAGGAAAATTTCTGGTTAAGGATTGAGCAATGAATTTTGGTATGTTTTTTAGTGAGAAAACACGAAGGAAATTGACATAAGAAATTGAAGGAAAAAATGTGACCAGAAAAAATTGTAGGATTTCACATAGGAATTTACATAATTTATTACCTAAGAATACGTTTATAAAAATTTACATCGAATCCTACTTCAAATCATGTCTCAATTTCCTATATGATTTTTCATAGGATCCTATATAGTTTCATACATGACACATAGGATTTTATGTGGATTTTAATATATGAATTTATATGAGATCGTATATGAGAATTTTCAGTAGGGAATAGTCTAAAAATATGTTTTTTTCTTCAATTTTCAATGATAGAGTACAACTCCTAACTTTTTTTGAAAAGTCATAAAATCAGTATTTTCAACTCCCCATTCTCCCCTACCACTACCTGTCCAGTCACTACCGGTAGTCACTTCTAGTAGTTACTGCCGGTAACCGATACAAGCAGTGACAACCGGTAGACTCTACTGGGAACTTTTCCAACCTGAGCAAATATATTATATAGAATATATCACTTTTAACGCATTATAAATAAAAAAGTTATGTTTTTCAGACCGAAACTGCTCTAATGTATGATGCTGTCTATTTATTTGCAAAAGCACTTCACGTCTTAGATGCATCTCAACAAATTGACGTCAAACCACTATCATGTGAGTCAACTGTTACGTGGGACCACGGATATTCTTTAATTAATTACATGAAAATCGTAAGTTACATAAATATTTCTTTCCTTAATACTTTTAAAAAAATCAATAACATGCAGTATCCACTATGGGCGGAAATATTGAGACCTCTTTTTTTATCATTATAAAACAACTTTAGATTTAAAAAATATAAGAACTGAAATATTTTTATTTTCTACAAAATGATAAACTTCTGTAAGAATTATCTCTTTATAACGAAGAGAAAATGTTAACGCTAATGTTAATGTTTTTTAGTCAAAAAATAAAGAATTAGTATTCAATAAAATTGAGAAATAGTTTTTTCAAAATATTTTTTTCTGTAGAAAGAATTTATTTGAATAATTTCATTAAATTGCGTAGAGTATCAAATTTAATTGAATTTATGCATATATATATATATATATAATAAATATTAATATATATATACATATATGGGGTAAAATTCCTGTAACGAATTAAGTGAAAAAAAGTTGATCGGATCGGGCTGTAACTTGCACATAGTTTAGCCCTAGGGGTGAGTAATTTAACCACGAAGTATTGTTAGGTTTTTTCAAAAACTGTCGGAGAGGGAGGGGGTTGAATTTTGTTTTAAATTTAAACAGTAAATTTTGGAACACTTGTAACTTTTAAACAGAAAGAAGAAAAACAATGTAGCCTATATGATTTCGAAAGGTTTTTTCATGCTCTTTCAAATGGTGCAATAAAATTTTCAAAAAATTCTAATTTTGACCCTTTTTTCGAAAATTAAACATTTTTTCGAATTTTTTTTGAAGTTCGGTCCTTTTTATTTTTTTATTTATTTTTTTTTTGAAAGTAAAAAAATGTGTATTTTCACCACAAAAAATATTGAGATGTAGTTTTTTGTTATTTTCGATATATTTATTAATTAATGTTAATAAAAAATGAAATATTTTACAAACAAATATAGTTATTGCAATCCTGAAGGTACCAATTGAAAGCTGACGTTATTCCGCATCCAACGAACCCTATATGAAGTAGGGTCAGCCGGGGTAAATCCGAACGGGGGGTAAATCCGAACGCTAATTATTTCAGCTTAATTAAAATTTTTAAAAATAAGTTCGATATGAGAATTTTTACCTCAGATCCTCTTCAAGAGATGCTAAGTATTATCCCATTTTTCGTTTGTTAATTAGCAACAGCATAAACAAAGATAACGAGTATTGCAAAAAAGATTGAAAATCAAAGATGACACTCTTTCAGTATTTTGTCTCGTATTTGAAGAAAAAGAAGCTAAAAATTCATTTTATTATTTATAATTGTTTGTTATGAATACTAGAACAGAAACTATTTTTCATTTTTGCCTTCTGTAAAATTTTATTAATAATATCAGACCGTTTGTATTTACCCAGGAAAATTGGAAAACCGGGGTAAATCCGAACGGTATTTTCAATAATTTTTTTTTACATCAGAGCCACACAAAATTGTTTTTATTTCATTACACTATTATTTTAACATTATAAAAGTACATAGAAAAAAGTTTTTCTTTCTATACGTATCCTCGTTAGTAATTAATAAGCAGAAACTTAATCTCTGTTCTCTCGAAGGAGTGTTTTAATTTTTTTGCCAAATGGTTTGTTGAAAAAAGTTTTTCAGGATCTTAATAAAATTTGGTATTCTACGGTTTTTGGGGTCGCTAATTACCAATTTCAAGTCAGTTTTTCAAAATTCAAAATGGCTGACGAGAATTAAAAAATTCATTGGATTCGCTCGAAAATTGTTACTCGGGGGGTTTCAGGGTTAGCAAATTTGATCATTTTTAAAAATAAGTTTTAGGAAAGTACGCCATTTTGAATTTAAAAAATTTGACTTTTATTTTTGTATTTACATTCAATCACTCCAAAATACTTTCTGTACCAAGTTTTGCAAAAATCCGTTATGATTTGATAAAGTTATTGAAGGTTTTAATTGTGTAATTTAATACGAACGCTAAGTTTCCTGCGATTGTAATTTATCAAAAAAATTTTCTACCCCATAAAATTGTACTATGGAAGTAAAGTAACAACTTCATGCACCAGAATACCGGAAGTATTTTTTTTTAAAGAAAAAACTTATGTTATTGTTGAAACTTACTAAAAGCGTTCGGATTTACCCCGGTTGACCCTACTTTGGGTTAGTGGATTGTTAATACACAATTGGCTAACATGGCTATAGTTTATAGAAAATCCTCTAATCCAAAATATTCCATATAGGGCTCGTTGGATGCGGAATTATGTCAACTTTCATTTAGTAACGTCAGAGTTACGATAACTTTATTCGTTTGTAAAATACATTATTTTTTATTAACCTTAATAGTTAATGAATAAACTAAAAATTGTAACAATTATATAAGTAGATGAAAAAAATTTTGACATACATGTTTTCCAAAGAAGACATAATAGAATAATAATAAAGTCAATAAATAAAATAAAAAGTAGAATAAACAAAGTCAAAAATAAAATGGTAAAAAGACAATAAAAGATAAAATAAATAATAAGATGAACAAATAAATAAATAGAAAGTGGAGACTGCCAATTACGCCTTCCTGCGGTCATCGAGATCCATTCTTATCATTACCGTGATGATAAAGGTCGCTATGAACCGCCAGTTTTCCAGGGACTGGATCATCAGCGCTACCATGTTCTGCGGTGCAACTGTAGCGTTTACACCGGTAAACATGGCCTGCCTTTCCAAGTCCCATCTACTGCAGGCAGAGAGAGTGTGCTCTGCTTTGTCCACAGGGAACTGTCAGTAAGCACAGTTCTCACTCTCTCTCTTCTTAAAGCGCTGCAGGTACGAATTAAAACATCCGTGACCTGTCAGCGCTTCTGTCAAGTAGTAGGAGATCTATCCATGGTTCCTATCTAACCAAGTGGCGAGTGTCGGTATAAGGCGATAGGTCTATCGACCTTGTACCTCCCCATCCTATCTTTCCTGCCATTTTTCGACGAGCCTGTGCCTCGCTTCGAAGCGGATGCAGTCCTCGCTGGGTCGATCTTCCTCTTCAGAGGAAGGAGGATAATTACCTCCCTCTCAAGCGCCAAAAGATCTGTCCAATAAGCAGAGACGATACGCGAAGTAATGCATCTCTGCGCGGACAGCATCTTTTTGCAGATGGTAGAACATCTTTTCGTTCTCAGGGACGGGGCCCACGCTGGTGCTGCATAAAGCAACTTAGCGTGGGCGACACTCGCCATCAGTCTCCTTTTCTTCTCACGAGGGCCTCCAATATTTGGCATCACCATCATGTGGTAATGGAAGTGTAACCTTCAATCCAGTTCAACACCAAGGTACTTAATCTGTCTCCTCAACTTGACCTCGAATTCGTCCATCACGATTCGTGGGGCTTTATGACCACGTCTGTCTGTGACCAGCAATGCTTCCGTCTTTTTCAGGGCCATTTAAAGACCTCTGGTTTCCAGCCATCATTTTGCTAGCCGCAGACATTCGTTCACCAATGTCCCAAGAGCTTTCGCCGAGTCAGCAGCGCACACGATCAACGCGTCGTCCGCAAAGCCGACGATCACCGCACCTTTAGGCAGGTCCATTCTCAGGAAGTCATCGTACGATACATTCCATAAAAATGGTCCTACCCTCGAGCCTTAAGGGGCCCTATGCTGCATCTTTTCCTTGAGAATGCAGGTGTCTCCCTCGTAAATAATTCACCTGTCGCTGAGATAATTATCCATTATCCGCAACAGGTAAGGCGGCATACCCTTCTGTATCATCGACTCGATGAGATCTTCCCATCTCGCGAAATTGAACGCGTTCCGTATGTCTATTGCTACCAACGCGCAGAAACTCTTCTTCTTATCTGGACCCAATTTGTTCTTCCCTTCTATGGCGAGTTACAGAACTGCCTTTATGGCATCAACTGTGGACCGACCTTTGCGGAATCCAAATTGGTAATCGGATAGACTATTCTCTCCGGTTAAGTGAGATTGCATTCTCTGCAGAACCATGTCCTCTAGAAGTTTGCCCACCGTATCCAACAGGCATATAGGCCTGTAAGATGAGACCTTATCTAGAGGCTTCTTCAGGTGACCGGACGAACTTCTCCTTGTCGAGTCTCTTAGTGTTCCACGAGAAGCTTTTTCGACTAGGGACTTCCTGTCTTCTGCCTCCTCATGTGTCTCCCACTGAGACTGAGAACTCGATGTACGGTGGTCACTTGCGGTATATTCCTCAGAGACCCGCTAGTCGCATATGCGGCTAATTATTTTGAAGGATGCGACCGTTAGATCAATAATGGATCCGATCGCATCTCTCCTAAACGTCCATATTTTCCCCCGGTTTACAACTACTACGTCGTTCCTGGAGATCATTTCTCCGGTCAGAAGTCCTCTTTTATAGAGCCTTGTTTCGCCACACTCTGGAGACTTTGCATTAAAGTCGCCAGTGACGAGAACATCCAACTTGGATTGTCGAAGGCTCGATTGGAGGTCCTGTAATTCGGATTCGAAGTCTGTCAGTGGATCATTTGGCGAAAAGTAACAGCTATACATACATACAACGCAGGTTTGGGTTGCGTGTCCGTAGACAAGGCACCTGTGACACCTTGTCACTTCCAGATGAGTACGAATTGGCACGTTAATCCAGACAATTTGTACTTTTTCCATCTTTAAAATAGCATCAGTATCCGCCTCAGCAAAACGGACCAGTGCCACCTTTGTTCCACTAAAACGTGGCAAAAGTCGACACGTCATTTCCAGGTCAGACTTGCCTAACTCCTTTTTCAAGACTGAAAACACGTCATCCTCGGACGTGGATTCGTCGAGATCCTTTATCTCGATGGTCCTTTTATTTACAAGAGCCGTTACCTCAGCCTTGTCGAGCAAAGCAGAGGTCAGAGCTCTTGCAAACTTGGAGGTCTTTCCTCCTTTTTTAACTACTAGAAGAACCTTTTTCTTTAGAGTTCTTCTTATCCTCAGGACTTCGGTACCAGTCTCTTCTGTCTTAACTGCAGTTTTCATTATAGTAAGGATTTCGGCGTAGGACTCTGTGTTTCTCGCTGATATCTTCACTG